AAAGCAGAACCATGAACTCATTAGCTTGATCCACGGGGAACAAACCCGTGAAATTATACCCCGTGGTCTTGGATTTCCCGCCCGCAACTCGCGCTGAGGTGAATAATTCGTTCGGCAGGCTGAACGATTCCCAGCTCGCGGGAATCGTCACCTTCGCTGCTGACGTGGCCGCTGCCACGTTCACCCACGGGTCCGACTTGGACGAGGCCACGTCAGCATCCCACGTGCGGTGCCCCGGGTCGGTGCCGCTGGGCTCCGGGCCAATGGCAGCGCCGCCGGCGTTGATTCGCACCCAATTGGAGAGCACCACGCTGGAGCCCGTGGTGGATGCGAAATACGCGTCAGTGTCCACTGGGAGGACTTGTAACGAGTTCACAAACGGGTTCCCCTGAAACGGGAGAAAGCACACGCTAATCTGATGCTGCTGCTGTTGCGAGGCGTTTCCGTCCGCGTTATCAGCTCCATCCGCAGTAGTTTCAGCAGGCTGCGAAAAGGCGATGTAGTCAGTGTAGTAGGCTGTGGTGTTGAGCCCCTTAATTCCCACCACCTCCACGAAATAGTCGTTAATGCTCACCCCCACGCTCGGGTCCAGATTCAGCGGCAGCAGGTTGTAGTAATTGTTGTCGAAGCTGCAGCGAAAAACATTACCGGAGGAGTAGGAGGGGGAGGCGGGGGGAGGGGGAGGTGGGAACGATGGGAGAAAAAGGGGGAAAGGGCCGTTGAGATGGGAGATAGTAAGGCGGGTGAGAAGCCTGGATTGATACCCATACATGCTGTTCGACAGACAGAAAACGATGACAGGGAAGACACAGCGCCAGGGAAAACGATGTCACCTGTTCAGTGCCATTCCATTCTGCTACATGCGACTCTGCTCCATGTCGCTCTACCCCATGCTACTCGTTAGTTACTCACTTGTTGTAGCTGAAGCTGAGGCGCACGAGGTATCTGCCCGGCGTCACGGGCACGCGGTAGCAGCTGTCGCCCACCTCCCAGTACCGCAGCGTGCGGTCCACGGGCTTCAGTAGCCCGCCCGCGTAGTATGTCTGCACGCGCGGCAGGGGCACCAGCGGTACGGGGAAGACGGCATGGGGCATGGACCACGGGGCAGAGGTAAGCGCGCGGGGCAGGGCGCGGGTAGCGCAGCAACAGAAATGACACTGACGCGTCGTGGACGGCAGTCAGTCACCTCGAGTCGGCATGACTTACCGGTTGAATGAATTTGGCTGTGCCGTTAGCGAAGTATTGATCGGGTAACCACATGATTCCGTCGGTGTCCGTGCTGCCCTCCACGCTACCGCAATCCACTCGGATTGGATCTACGAGGTGAGATTTGGCGGGGAGAAACGCAGCGAAGCCCAAAACACAACGTTAAGAGGCATAACAATGAGCCATACGTGCAGCACACAGGGCGATAAGAGGTAATGGTGAGAAGAAGGAGAAGCGAACGAAAGGAGTGTGCAACAGGACGGACGTGTAGTAGAGAATATCAGTCAATCGGGTGTTCGTAGTCAGAAAGACGGGGCGCGAGAGACTTGATTATTCGACGACATGGAGCTACTGGAATCGTTGCCAGACGAGAACGAAGTGCAGTTAGACTGACAACTCGCAATCTCAGCGGTGCAATCGTATCTTGAGCGTTCCTCACGCTTCCTTTCACTCAGGGGTCGTTTTAGAGGCGATTGGTCACCTTGGGGAGCGAGGAAAGCGGATGCTGATCGCGTCCATAGGGTAAGGAGTGCCACAAGGGCCACGGTCACGCCGAGAGACGCTCTTTGTGGCCGTGATCTTGTCCCTGGCGAATACGAGTGCCGTGTCATTGCGTAAGAGAACTCGAAGAACTACTTAGCGCCAGTGAAAGGAAGACGTGGTGGACTCGATGATTTAATCGATGGACGGAGAGGGCTGGAACACTAAGCGCGGTAAGAAACGAAGGTTGGATAGATAATGGGTAGACTATCAGACTTGGTTTCTAAGCGCGACGCCGTTTCCGTGGGCTCTGCTGCAACAGTTATGGATGCTCTGCCCACGAAGGTTTGAGTTGCTGAAGTTCTGTGTGAACACACAAGCGCCTGCTGATGGCTAGAATGAAAGAAACACGAAGGTGAGGTCTTGTGATGGCTGGTTGCCGAAATGCGTGCCGTGAGTGAGACGGAAAGGAACACCGACAGTGACGAGGCCTCAACTGAAGGAAGGAGGGGTCTGCACGACAGAGGGCGTAGCGAAGAACTAGGCTGCTAGAGCGTGTGCCAGGTGGCTGAAAGGGCGAGCAGAACAGAGTGAGCGGAAAAGACGCAGGAGCGGGAGGGGAGGAAAAGAGCAGCCAAGTCGACCAGAACTTGAGAGAAAAGTGGGGTGGGATGGGAAGGCGCGGGAGGTCGAGGCGAGCCGGGGACCTGGATGATGACGGGAGCGGGCAGTGCGGAAAATGCCATCAGTACAGTTACTTTACCACATGAGCAGTTGTCTGGTGGTGGTCTGGTCAATTTGCGCGGCTTGCTTTTGGTTCCGTTTGTTCCTCCTCGTGTGTTGTTGCTCCACCTGGGTTTCATCCCGCCTCGGGCAGGCACGCACTGCGGCAAAATATTTTCCCGAGGCCGTTCCCCTCGGTTCTGCCTGCTGATTTTATTGCTTCGCCCGCTCTGGTGTCTGTGCCAGAGCAGAATGTTTGATTTGTTAACGAAGCGCGGGTGCGGTCGTCTCGACTCTGCAATTGGAGGAGGGTCCTGGTCTTGCCGTTCTGGGTAGCTCTTTCATAACCGCGACGCGTGCGCCAAAGTTGAAGTTTCTGAGTCGAGTCGCGATTTCTTGCTCGACGGCGAAAATGAGGTGATGTGGCGTCCATCAGACAAGCCACCAGACATAGCGGTTCGATTTCCTTCGCAAAATTTCCCGCCTGAATTGCTACCGCCAAAACGTTCCCCTGAGCCTCGGACCCTTCGAAGAAACAGGGTCGACACTTCAACAATCCTCCCTCTCTGATTGGCCATTCCACCACGGTCATGTCAACACCAAGAAGTGAAACATCCCTGCAGGTGAGCTACAAGAGCACCCTCGTGAAAATCACTCCTTTATTCTGCATAAAACAAATCAGCTTAGCGTCCGAAGCATGGTAGATACTTAAGAGTACTGTTTCTCTGTAACACTTCTAGTAACAGACTGGAAAGTGGTGCACCACCAAAACTTTCTCAACGTCATCTCTACCACCCTCATCCCTCGCCTGCATTCCTCCAGGTAGTCTACCACCAGCATCAAATGGTGCACCACCACGAGCTCTCAACTCGTTTTCAGTGATTTCCACTCCACGCACGCTTCTGTGGTTTCCACCCAACCCTAGGTTCCCTCTCACTGCAGCCAAGCCTGGCCTGCTCCCCTCGAGCTTGCTCCCTCCCCTCCCTCGCCCTGGCTCCTCCCCTCCCCCCCACCATGCTGGTTCCCTCCAGCCTTCCTCCCGCCATGGACCATCTCTCCCCTGATGTCATGACGTGGACCTCGAATCTAGACTTCACTATTTGTCCCAAATCTACAGCTACCCCGGCCGTGCCCAGTGCTAACTACGTCGGTGGTTGTCGATTAGGGTTATCTCATCACGACACAGTCAGCCTAGATGAATTGAACAGTGGTATTAGCCATGAGACGAGTGAAGCCAATGGCGACTCCCAAGCTTTAGCCACTCTTGCTAGAACGAACCCAGCAACTGCCGGCGCGGCCGGCGCAAAAGACGGTGCTGGCGATATTTCGAATGGAGGGTTCCGCTTACGTGGTGAGAGATACCAGTCGCACGATGAGATTCATGACGACGATGCTGCCCGCATGCGAGCCGTTGATGAAATGCAGGCAGAGCCCCTTTCTGCCGCCGCTGCTGCTTTCGAGCCGTGTGCGGCAAAAGGATATTTCGAGGAAGCAGGAACGTCGTATCGCTATCCTTCGGCATCGGCGCCGGCTGAACCGGTGACCAGTAGAGTGAGGACCTCTGTATCCTGTGAAGAGAGTAGCAGAGGAACAGAATCCGTTCTCGCACGCACGCAAGCAAATGGTATAGAAACGGAAGGGCGCTGCAACAAGCAGCTGACGACGATACGCAATCAACCTTCTGTCACTGCTTACGGCCAGTCATCTCCCCAAAATGGCACAGCTCGTGCCCTCGACTCAGCACCGTGCGATGCCGCCGTGCCGTCCGCTTCTGTCACTCGGAACGCTAATGCCCAAGCGCAAGCAAACCCCATATCCCGTTCTGAGGGCGGCGGTAATTCCGCCGAAGCGACACTGCGCTCTTCTCGTGGATGTGAGTCGTCAGGGAATTGCGCCGCGCCTGGAGCAGATGGGGCGAGTGCAGTATTGCCTCCTTCGACTGTCGTTGAAGGAAAGAAAATTAGTGTTACTGCTGCCGCTGCTGCTGGTGGTACTTCTGCAGTTGGTGCTGTTTCAGGAGGAGGCCTAGGAGGGAGAGGAGGTGTGGATGTGGTAAATTCAGGCGCCCATGTGTCCGTGACTATGGCAGCAGAGCCTTCTCAGGGACGAGAATCAGAATCGCCTTCTACGAGGACACTAGCGCCTAGTGCACCAGCGACTGAGGCTGTGGCTGCGACACCAGTTGTGACTGCGACTGCCTCTGCGACACCAGTAACTGTGGCTGCGACTCCAGCGGTTGTGACTGTCAGACGAGTAGTTGCAACCGCAGCAGCGAATGCCCCTGCAACTGCGAAATCAGTCATTGCGAGACAAAATGGTGTAGCCACAGTTACCGTAGCGCCGGCTACAGCTGTACCGGCTGCAGCAGCTGTGCCGGTTACAGCAGCGGTAGCCACAACAGTGCTTGCCACAGCAGTGCCAGAGAGAATGGCGCCGGTAGTTGCATGCGCGTCAGCGAAAGCACTAAAGACAGTTGTCGCAGGCACGAAGCAGCCCGTCGTTGCTTCAAGGGACGCTCTTCGGACTGATCATCGCCCGTTCACCTCTTATCCTCCCGGTTCCACTCCCCCCACCGTAGCAGCAGCATCACTTCATGGAGGGGCGGCTGGAGAAGTAAGGGAAGTAGCAGGAGTAGCGGGAGTTGCGGGAGTAGCAGGTCCTGCAAGCGCCGAGGCGGCAGGCTTACCACATTCCACCTCTCTAAAGTCCTCCTCGATAATAGTCCCGCCTGTGAAGCAGCCAGCAGCAGCGGCTATCAGCAAGCCTCCTATGCGTGTGAGCAGACCAGGTGTAGCGGCGCCGAGCAGGTCACCTGAAAGCGCTACAGCCGGTGTGGTGGGAGGAGAAGGAGCGAGGAAGGCCCCAGGATATGCGGTGGGGAAAGCAGTGGACAGGGTATCTGAAAGCGGGCATGCAGTTGCTGCAGCGCTTGGATCCAGAAAACCAGTGCTGGCGTCCGCATCGGTTCCTGTTCCTGCGGCAGCAGCAGCAGTAGCAGCAGTACCATCACCAGCACCACCAACAGCAGCAGGAGCAGCAGTACTATTACCAGCACCAGCACCACCAACAGCAGCAGCAGCAGCAGCAGCAGCAGCAGCAGCAGCAGCAACACCTGGTTCGGAGCGAAGGGGAGAGGGCGGGCACGTAGGAGGGAGTCTGGAGAGGGACAATGTCAGGCCCGTGTCGACATGGCCCTCGTCGGTGCCACCGTCTCAGCACCCGCAACAGCCGGCGGAGCAGCAGCAGTTGCCGCCGTCGCAGCAGCAGCAGCAGCAGCAGCAGCAGCAGCAACTGAACCAGGGCACGTGGCATAGTGTACCGGGCTCCCCTTCGAGTGTGCCTCCCGTGAGTGTACCAATTGTTTCTCTCTTAGGTAATTACCCACCAGTGGACGCGAGGTCTCTTGAAACTCGTCCTCCTCCTCCTCCTCGCCCTGATGTTGCTGCTCCACTTGCTGCTGCTCCCCCTGCATCTCCTGCTGCTGCTCCCCCTGCATCTCCTGCTGCTGCTCCTGTCGCTCCCGCTGCTGTTGTCGCGGTTGCTTCGCCATTGTCTATTATCCCTCCTGCGCCACAGCCGCTGGAGGTCATGACCGGGTCTGGCGCTGTCCCTAGCAGAGCAGGTAGCGGCGGAAACGGTGGAGCAATGGTTGCAGTCGATGACGCTGGCGCTGCAGCAGGGCAGGCACCGCAATCGTCGGAGAAGGGCGGGAAGAAGGACAGGAAGCGTGACCGGCATAAGAAAGCATCGGACGGCCGGAATCCCATGATCCGGCTGAATCCGGGTACGGCCGATCGGTTCTTCGCGATCCAACGGTTACTGGAGAGTAAGCGCGCGAAACGGACTTCAGGCTCATTTGTAGTCAACTGGCTCATTGATATCTCACATGCGAGCATTCAGGGCGTTGTGGAGGACGAAGGGCAGGCGGGGGAGGGGCTCGGGTTTGGCTTGGTGGGAGGGTTCAGTGGAATTCGGGGAGATATGGAAGCAGATGAGGAGGACGAGGAGGAGGAAGAAGAGGAGGATGAGAGCCTGATTCCCGGATTTGCAGGGCTGATTATGGACCATGGACAGTCTTTTATGGAGGGGGATCTTGGGCAGCCGATGGAGTGGGATCAGACTCTATCGCAGCAGATGTTTTTGCCTGCTCAGCAGCACTTGCAGGCGCAGTGTCAGCCGCAGGTGCTGTCTGGGCTGCTTCCTCCACCCTCCCATCAACTAGAAGCACAGCTGCATACGTTCCCGCAGCATCCTGAGCAGCAGCAGTTGCTGCCATCACTGCAGTGCCAGCAGCAGCAGCAGCAGTCTCAACAGCAGCAGTCTCAACAACAGCCGTTGCCTCAGCAGCGACCGCATGTTCATCAGGAGTTGGGTTTCCATGAGAAAATGAATCAAATTCACGATTTTTTGGACCAACCTCTCTGAGTCATACATGAGAGTTTGCCAACCCCCATGAAGGAAGTTATCATGAGAGTGAAGCCTTGTATCTCAGTTTGTGAATTCTAGTCCAGAGCATTGTACGTAACTCAGTTCTAGCTGCCTCTGGTCTGGTGTCATATCGTGAGTGGGGTTCACTTGCGCGTCAAGCTCTTCCCTGGTAAATTCTTTTATTGTTAGTCTCCCATGTGTTGGTGGACGGCTAAAGGTGAACAACCGTAATGGATTTGAGTGCATAAATCGGAACTGGTTATGTGAAATAGTATACAAGTCGTAGTGTAGGTTTCGTGCTTGAACAATTCCACTGCTTCGTACGCTTTACTATGTTATCGAGTGTGTAGTCGGGCCGCTGTTTCTCGAAACTTCGTTACAATTTGGGGACCTGCGTAGGTGTGCCTTCTTCACCCAGCCAGGTTTTGTATTAGGGCAGGTTGATGTGGCATGCTCCTCACAGATTGGACATCAACCAATGGCCGTGTTTCTCTCCCCAGGTAGCTTGGTCATCGAATCACGTCCGTCGGTTACAGTTTGGATCCACATGGGGGCGGAATGGCGCTACTCACAACATTATCCTGCCCGAATACTCCAGAACTTGCTATCTGCCCGACATTTCTGGTACTGGCGGCCGCACCACCCTAAATATCTGGCAGCACGAGGCGGAAGTCGAGGGCAATCTGGCGACCAATCTCGCCACCCTGACCAAATGGGAAGTCCGTTTCCAATGCCCAGCCCACCACCACCACTCACCAACCAGGACAGCACACACTCAGGGGACATGACCCCAAAACGACGAGTCACCACCACCAGGCAGCACAGCCGGGGGGCAGACCCAACTTCAAGGCTTCACCGAACCATTACGTACTGTACCACGCACAACCACGCTGCTGAACATGGCATCTAGGGCACGACAAAGTTGAGATTTTAACCTAGAACCTTATTCAACCGCTATCGGAAGCAAGCGAAACGTAGAACAATCCAATCAAACCGCATCAAAGCGGATTCTCATGTCACGCCCCAAGTTTCTTGTTGTGCCGCACCATCCAATACAGTCAGACCCACCCACCTCTCCCATGCCAGAATTCAGAACACACCACGCCTGCTCTTTCGCCATTCGCCGCCGCACAGCAGCAGCAGCACATGCTCCCTGCTCCCATTGACGACTACTTTGTGCATGCTCGCCTTGACGAGCCGCATCACTTGAACTGGTTCTCCTTCACGCCGTGGTGGACGTGGCTGCCAGTGAACTGCGTTTGAATCCTCGCCTTTATTGTGGCTGCCATGGTTTACCATCCGTGATTTAATAGCCAATCGTTTCTGCTTCTCGATTGGGCCAGTCTTAGCACGCGATATTTTCTAGGCATAGGCTCAGTAGTGAAGAACTTCGTTTCTTGCATGTGTAGTTTAGGTAATTAGGTCGAATTCGAGCTCCCTTTCAATGAACACTTCCCAGTAGATTACTCTTTAGAGAGGAAAGCTGCCTGTGTTGCGGACGGCATGCAGCCATCGAAAGGGTTGCGAGCAGCAACAGCGGCGGGACGAGTCAACACTGGCACAGACAGCAGCCGCTGCCTCCCTCTGCTAGTTGACCACAGCATGCAGTGTTCGGTTTCTGACTCGCGCGCACGTATACGTTGCCGAACCGTGAGCTGTCTCCAATGGTCTTAGCGTTGGCGCGCGCACTCGCCTTCTAGCCTTCTTTTGAGGCGCCTCAAAAGCCTTTTAGATCCAGCTTAACCGTCGCGCTCTTCGGCTCCTCTTCTCCTCCGCGCCTAATCTTGGTTCTAATTCGATCTTACGATTCAAAATCTCCCGTTTCCTCCTTTCCCGCCTCCTCGCCTCTCACCGTCTCTCCGCTATCTCTCTTGTCTCTTCGCTTCTCTCTCCTCGCTCCTCTCTCCTCTCTCCTCTCCTCCATGACACATGGATCCCCTCGCCAACATATTCATGGGCCGCCATGGCCACTGCTGTCACCCCAGCGCTCCATTCTGCACCACAACCGCACCAGATCCCTTCTCAGCTGCCAGCACTAGCGGAACCAGCTGCAGCAGCAGCGGGATTAGCGGCGGCGATGTATGTCCGGGCAGCAACGGGCTCGGTCCCTCCGATAGAGGCAGCTGCGGCGCCGCGAATGGCGCGGCGGGGATGGCGCTTCCGCCGTACCCCGCCGGCTGTCGCAGCACGGGCGCCGGTTTCACGTTCGGCGGCTTTGGAGGCATCTTAGCCGCGTTTCTGAGTTCCACTAGTGAGGCGATTGGCAGGGCCAGTAGCGGGGCGGGCTACAGCGGGGATGGAGGTGGAAGCGGGGGAAGATCAGGAAGCAGTTGGGCTTTGGAATGGGATCCCGCTGAAGCAGGAAGCAGCGGCGGCGGCGGCGGCGGCGGCGGCGGGGACGGGGGGATGGGCGGCGGTTTAAGCAGCAGCAACAGCACGTTATTTGTGTTCTCCGACGTGTTTCCACCCGGGTGGCCTTTCTCCCTCCTCACTGGCTGGTCTATCGCCTTCCTCCTCCTCACGCTCCTCGTCGCATTCGTCGTCCATCGCACCGTGCGACACTGGCAGCTGCAGCTGTCCGTCGCACGGCTGAAAGCCGCGGGATTCCTTCGCCACGCGCTCATGCGACGCGGCGACATGCCACTCGCCGATCACTCGTGGTTCGTGGAACCATCGAAGAACCTTCCTGGTCCGATCACCTGTTGCGTGTGTATGGAAGAGATTGATAAGACGAAGGAGAGAGCGGATGGGGGGGGAGGGGGAGGGGGAGGGGGAGGAAGCAGCGGGGAAGAAGCAGCGGTAAGAGGGGGAAGGACAGGAGGAGTGGAGGGACTTGGGTGGAAAACAAAAGAGGCGGGAGATTTTTCCGAAGGGTTGGGGATCGGTTGTGGTAGGTGTGAAGGGGAAGATGCGGGAATAGCGGCGACTCCGCGGGGGAGAGCTGGGAAGAGGGGGAGAGGGAGGGGGGGAAGGTCGGGAAGGTGGCGGAACCTGGCGGAGGAAGGCGAGGGGAAGGGGGGAGGGCGGGGGGCGATGGGGGCTGGTTTAGGAGATGCGGACATCCATGGAGGGGCGAATCAGGAGGAAGGAGGCGGAGGGGGAGGCGGAGGGGGAGGGGGGGTGGATCGGTGCTCCGTGTGCGGAGTGACGGCGCATGAGGAGTGCGTGGGCGCGGCGAGCAGGGACTGCAAGCGCGTGGCGATGACGGGGCGCAGTGTGGCGCACCAGTGGGTGGAGGCGAGTCAGATCAAGATCGAGGAGGACCGGCACGACGAGGACCTCGTGTGCATGCTGTGCGATGAAGAGGTGCGCTGGTTGGTGGGTGGGTGGGTGGGTGGGTGGGTGGGTGGGTGTTGCTGTGCGACCAAGAGGTGCGTGCTTGCATTCAGGGAACCTAGCTGGCTTTTGAGTCGGATCAAGTCAAGATCGAGGAGGGCTGCGTGTGCATGCTGTGTTATGTTATGAAGAGGTGGGTGCATGCTTTCACGCACGCGGGAAGCACGTTTGAGAATGGGGCGAGTGACTTGTGAGGCGCCTCAAAAGAGGTTGGTGCATGGGGCTAGTGTTGGGTGTGGGTGTGGGGGTGGGTGGGGATGGGTTTGGGTGTGGGGGTGGGGGTGGTAATAATAGAAAACTTCCAACCCCTTTCCCCTCGTCCTTTCACCCAACGATCTTTCCAACTCCACAACCCCACAACCACACCCCCACCATCGCCCCATCAGGTCCAGTCCGTGTTCAGCACAGGCAAGCCAGTGTGGCGCTGTGTGTGTTGGTAGCCTCCCTTTTCCCTTTCCTTTCCCCACACTCACCCCATCTCCCACCCCCATCTCCCACCCCCATCCCCACCCCCATCCCCACCCCCACCCCCAACCCCACCCCCATCCCCATCTCACCCCACCAGGTGAAGTCCGTGTTCAGCACAGGCAAGCCAGTGTGGCGCTGTGTGTGGTGCAAGCCTCCCGTCATCCTTTCCCTCCCCCCAACAAAACCACCCTCCACCCCCATCCCCACCCCCACCCCCCACTATCTCCCCACCAGGTGAAGTCTGTGTTCAGCACGGGCAAGCCAGTGTGGCGTTGCGTGTGGTGCTAGCCTCCCGTCATCCTGTCCCTCCCCTCAAAATCACCCTCCACCCCCATCTCACCCCACCAGGTGAAGTCCGTGTTCAGCACAGGCAAGCCAGTGTGGCGCTGTGTGTGGTGTCAGCGGCTGGTGCACGTGTTCTGCCGCCCGGCAGTCATGAAAGCCGGAGAGGACCCCTGTGACTTTGGCGCCCTGCGCCGCTCCATCGTCTCCCCTCTCTGCGTGCGCGAGAGAGGCGCGGTTGGGATCAGCAGCAGCGGCGGCGGTGGTTTCGGTGCTGCTGCCGGCGCTGGTGGTGGTGCTGGTGGTGGTGGGGGGGCAGGAGGAGGAGGGGGGGGTTCGGCGTTTGGGTATAGCCCTGCGGCCGCTGCCTCGGGCATGCGGGATTTGATCTCCTCCTGGCGGCAGAACGCCGGGGAGCTTGCGAGCAATGTGAACCGTTCGATCAGGAAACGGGCCAAGAGGCGTGCTAAGAAAGTGGCTAGTTCGGCTGACTTGCTGAATGGAAACGGGAATGGGGCTGGGCATGGGAATGGGAATGGGAATGGGAACGTGCATGCACATGGGAGTGGCACTGGGGATGGAGGGATGGTGGGTCAGGGTGGGGGAGGAGCAGGAGGGGCGGATTTTCCGGAAGGGGAGGCTATGCTGTTAACGAATGGGCTTATAAGCGGGTTTGATGGGGGGCTTCCGTCGTCACCTAGTGGATCGTCGGTGGGCGGTGGCGGGGAGTGGGTGAGGGTGAATGGGGGGCGCACGCACAACAACAGCAACAATAACAACAATAACAACATGGATGCCAGCAGTTCCAGTAGCTCAAGTGCTGCTAGTAGTATTGGCGTCGGTGGTAATGGTATTGGTTATGGTGCTGTTGCTGCTGGTGCTGCGGGTGGTGGTGCTGCTGCTGGTGCTGGTGGTGGTGGTGGTATTCGAAATCTGAGTGGGTTTAATGCAGGGGGCACGGAGAAGGGAGGAGGAGGGGAGGCTTGTGTGTTGTCCCAAGGGGAAGGTAGTGACGGGTCGTGTGAAAGGGAGGGCAGGGAGGGCAGGGGTCTGGACAGGCACCCAGTGGGTGAGAGGGGAGTTGCTGGAGGTAGAAGAGCGTCACAACTGCAGCACGAACAGCCGCACAACCGTCAGCAGCAGCAGCCGCAGCAGTTGGTGCAGCAGCAGCAGCAGCAGCAGCAGCAGCAGCAGCAGCAGCAGCAGCAGCAGCAGCAGCAGCAGCAGCAGCAGCAGCAGCAGCAGCAGCAGCAGCAGTACGAGATAGTGAACCTGCCAGCAGACGCGCGGCCGCTGCTGGTGTTTGTGAACAAGCGCAGTGGGGCGCAGCACGGCTCTGCTCTCAAGCGCCGCTTCAACATGCTGCTCAACCCCATTCAGGTGCGCCCAACCCCCTCCAGGTGCGCCCAACCCCATTCAGGTGCGCTCAACCCCATTCAGGTGCGCCCAACCCCATTCAGGTGCGCCCAACCCCATTCAGGTGCGCTCAACCCCATTCAGGTGCGCCCAACCCCATTCAGGTGCGCCCAACCCCATTCAGGTGCGCTCAACCCCATTCAGGTGCGCTCAACCCCATTCAGGTGCGCGCAACCCCTTTCAGGTGCGCACAACCCCATTCAGGTGCGCTCAACCCCACTCAGGTGCGCTCAACCCCATTTCAGGGGCGCTTAACTAAAACCACTTTAGAGACGTCTCAAAGCACGGCTCTGCTCTCATGCGACTCTTCAGGTGGGCGCTCAACTGAAGCCCCTCTCTTTCCACGATTGCAACGGCAGGTGGTAGAACGATCCAAGGACCAGGGCCCTGAACTGATTACAGCCCGTGTGTGTGACAGACAGCCCAACCTTTCAACATTCACACCATCCGATTCCTCTCTCTTTGTATATCCCTCTTTCCTAGCCCAATCTCCACCTCATGTGGTAGAGCTATCCAAGGACGGGGGTCTCGAGTACAGGCTCTCTCTCTTTGAGCACTTGCCCCAACTTCAGGGTGCTGGTGGGGGGGAGAAGGGGGGGGGGGGGGGGTGGGTTATTTTTTAGGCGAGTTTCATAAATGTACTTTCTCCCCTCCCCAACACCTGTCTCATCTCAGGTGGTAGAGTTATCCAAGGACCGGGGTCCCGAGTTCGGGGTCTCTCTCTCTCTTCGACCACGTGCCCAACTTCAGGGTGCTGGTGTACGGGGCTATTTCTGAGTCGAGCGTCAAAGAAACACTTTTTCTCTCCTCCCTTGCCCAACATCCATCCCATGATCTCACTCTCCAGGTGGTGGAGCTATCCAAGGACCGGGGTCCCGAGTATGGGCTCTCTCTCTCTTCGACCACGTGCCCAACTTCAGGGTGCTCGTGTGCGGGGGGGGTATTATTGAGGCGAGTTTCAATAATATACTTTCTCCCCTCCCCAACATCCATCTCATCTCAGGTGGTGGAGCTATCCAAGGACCGGGGTCCAGAGTACGGGCTCTCTCTCTTCGACCACGTGCCCAACTTCAGGGTGCTCGTGTGCGGGGGAGACGGCACGGTGGGGTGGGTGCTGGGCGCGATAGAGAAGCGCGGGTACGACATCCCCCCGCCCGTTGCCGTGCTGCCCATAGGCACTGGGAACGACCTTGCCCGCGTGCTGGGATGGGGAGGGGGGTTTGGTGCGGTGGAGCGACAGGTGGGTGCGAGAGAGTGTGTTTCTCTCAGAGTTGGTTGGTGGGTTAGAGCAAAAAGAAGAGATGTGGTGCGTTTTGTATGTTCTTTGGAAGGGAGACGGTAAAGCTAGGAAGGAAAGGCGGATGACCTTGCTCGCTCGTGTGATGGGAATGAGAGGTCGTGTGACCTTGCCCAGCTTTGGAGTTGTCGAGCATTGTTCATGGAGTGTCATGCAGTGTCATGGAGTGTCATGGAGTGTCATGGAGTGTCATGGAGTGTCATGGAGTGTCATGGAGTGTCATGGAGTGTCATGGAGTGTCATGGAGTGTCATGCAGTGGAGGTGAGTGAGAGTGACAGCGTTGGGTCTGGGAATTCGTTCGGTGCTGCTGCTGAGCGTAAAATACTCACACACCCATTGCCACCGGCTCAATCTTTCCACAGTACCATCCCCTTCCCGTTTCCCTTTTTCCCCTCCCCTTTCTTTTTCCCCCTCGCTTCTCTCACCCCAACACAACACCATCTCCTCTCGGTTACCCTGCAGGGCGGGCTGCTGTCAGTGCTGCTGAACATAGAGAATGCGCCCATTGCCATTTTGGACCGATGGGCTGTCACTTTCCTCCCTTCCTTCCCACTTCCCCCTCCCCCATCTCGCCAACACCATCCCCATGCTGTTACCCTGCAGGGCGGGCTGCTGTCTGTGCTGCTGAACATAGAAAACGCGCCCATTGCCATTCTAGACCGATGGGCTGTCACCTTCCACCCCGCTGCTGGTTCTGCTGCTGCTGCTGCCATCACTGCCTCTTCTCAATCGTTTGCGTCTGCCTCTGCGGCTGCTGCCTCAGCTCACGCTGCTGCTGCTGCTGCAGGGCAGACAGGGGGGAAGGGCAAGGAGAGGGAGAAGGGGAAAGAGAAGGGGAAGGAGGAGGGGAAGGAGGAGGCTCCTCAGCCGAAGTATATGAACAATTATCTGGGTAAGTGTGTTGTTTAGTGGCTTCTTGCGTGTGTTTCTAGCACTTTGTTGAAAACACCTCTTTAGGGCTTTCTAAGCTTGAGCTGCCCCATGCTGCTGATATGTTCTTCGAGGTGGCTTTTGAGTCGACTCACAAGTCACCTTGTTGAAAACACCTCTTCAGGGCTTTCTAGGCTTGAGTTGCCACGTGCTGCTGGTATGTTTTTCCGAAATGCGTTATGCGTCCCAGTCGTGAAAGTTGCTTTCCCTTGTGCCAACGCCACAGTACATCTGGTTGTGTGATGGCATGTGCGTGTGCAAGTATGTGTGCGTGTGTGTGTGCATGTGCATGCGTGTGCGTGTGTGTATGCGTGTGCGTGTGCATGTGTGTGTGCGTGCACGTGCATGGGTGCGCAGGTGTGGGGTGCGATGCCAAGGTGGCTCTGGAGATCCATCTTCTAAGGGAGGAGAACCCCGAAATGTTCTACAACCAGGTGGGCTTTAGAGCTATTCCAGTTCCCCTCCCCTCCCCGCTCCGTGGGCGTGGGCTACTTTTGAGACGTCTCAAAGGGCTCTGGAGATCCATCTCCTCCGTGGGCGTGGGCTAAGGGAGGAGAGGAGAATCCCGAGATGTTCTACAACCAGGTGGGCCATGGCCTCATGGCCATCCCTGCTTGCTTCCTTTCACTCTCACACTTTCACTTGCTGAGGCGCCTCAGAAGTTCTTGAGGTGCTTGAAGGGAATGTGAGGCGCCGCGCCCGCGCCTCAAGAATGACGTTCAGAGGGAGGAGATTCTCGAGTTGAGAAGTTGAGATGTTCTACAGCCAGCCAGGTGCATGCCATCCCTGCTGCTTCCCTTCCCTCCCCTCGCACACCATCCGCTGCAGGTGTGACAGGCTGTTTTGAGGCGCCTCAAAACCACACCATCCGCTGCAGTTGTGTCCGGCTGTTTCTGAGAATGCTTAGAAGCAACTCAGTGCGCCATCCTGACGTCTCTCATGACACGTGCATTTTGTGGCGCCTCTAAGGCTCCCCTTCCTCCAATCCACTCGGCTATCCCCCACCCGTCACATCACCCCACCCCCGCTCTCCCTTCCCCAGTTCCTGAACAAGGTGCTGTGTGCCACAGAGGGCGCTCGGGACTTTGTGGACCGCGGCTAAAGGATTCCCACCCGATCACACCGCATCCCACCCCATCCCACCCCATCCCCGCTCTCCCTTCCCCAGTTCCTGAACAAGGTGCTGTATGCCACAGAGGGCGCTCGGGACTTTGTGGACCGCAGCTGCAGCAACCTGCCATGGCACGTGCGCGTGGAGATCGACGGCCGCGAGGTGGCCATTCCAGAGGTGTGGTGTGGTGCGGTGGTGGAGTTGGGTGAGGTGGGATCGGGTGGGATGGGTTGGGGTGGGATGGCGTATGCTGTTGTGTGGTGCAGCATGGTGTGGGCAGGAGCTTTTAGCAACATGCATGGCACGTGGAGATAGACAGGCACGATGTGACCGTGGCAGAGGTGGGGAGGGGTAGGGTGGTGGTGAGGTGGGGTGGTGGTGAGGTGGGGTGGTGGTGGGGTGGTGGTGAGGTGGGGTGCGGTGGTGGTGGGGTGCAGTGGTGGTGGGGTGCGGTGGTGGTGGGGTGCGGTGGTGGTGGGGTGCGGTGGTGGTGGGGTGCGGTGGTGGTGGGGTGCGGTGGTGGTGGAGTGCGGTGGTGGTGGGGTGCGGTGGTGGTGGGGTGGGGTGGTGGTGGGGTGCGGTGGTGGTGGGGTGCGGTGGTGGTGGGGTGCGGTGGTGGTGGGGTGCGGTGGTGGTGGGGTGCGGTGGTGGTGGGGTGCGGTGGTGGTGGGGTGCGGTGGTATGTGGCGCACGCATGCAGGTTCACATGGATGGATTGGTGTTCCGGTCCCACGTCTCACCCACCAGTAGTTGACTTTTGAGTCGACTCAAAAGTCACCTTGTCCCACGTCTCACCCACCAGGAACTAGAGGGCGTGTTGGTGCTGAACATAGGCAGCTACATGGGGGGAGTGGACCTGTGGCAGAACGAGGAGGAGCTGGATGACGGGCTGGCACCGCAGCTGATGCACGACCGGCAGGTGGAGGTGGTGGGCATCTGCGGCGCCTGGCATCTGGGCAAGCTGCAGGTGAGGACAGGATGAAGGTGCTGTTTCGTATGCTTCTGGGCATGTGAGAGGCGCCTTAAGAAGCAGCTCTTGCACGACCGGCAGGTGGAGGTGGTGGGTGGGCATCTGCGGCGCCTGGCATCTGAAGCTGCATGTGCGGGTTAGATGTTGGTAGGGACGAAGCGTTGTTTCTTAGGCCAGGTGCAGGTGGAACTGAAAGACCAGGTGCAGGTGGAACTGAAAGACCAGGTGCAGGTGGAACTGAAAGACCAGGTGCAGGTGGAACTGAAAGACCACGGAAGTAGCTCAATTACTCTATGGCTCAATTACTTGCTTCATCGGGGATAGCGGGTAACAATCTGTGCTTGCTTCACCTGGTTAATCAAAACCGCCTTCCCACTGCAGCCTGCATCCCAGTGCTTCTTGCACCATTCCCCTGTCTGTTCCCTCACGCTACGCTTCCATTATCCATTCATTCATCCCTCCATTCCAAACACAATCCCCCCCCTCTTCCCCCTTCCTTTCCCTTCCTGCTCCCCTTCCCCCATGACCAGGTGGGCCTATCACGTGCCATTCGCCTGGGCCAGGGCCGGTCCGTGCGAATCCACACGTCTGTGACCTTCCCCGTGCAGATCGACGGGGAGCCATGGCTGCAGGCGCCTGCCACCATCCACATCGCTCACCACTCCCAGGTACCGACTCGACTCCCTCCGCCCTGCACCCCTTAGGCACTTCTGCCTTCCCCATCCCTCAACCTCTAGCCTCTGGGCGCCTCAAAAGCATTCCCCTGGCCACATGCCCCTGCCACCATTCACATCGCCCACCACTCCCAGGTACCGACTCCCTCCATGCTCGTGCATTCCCGTGCTTACCCATCCTCGCCCCTCCTTGTTCATCCTCGCCCCTCCTTGTTCATCCTCGCCCCTCCTTGTTCATCCTCGCCCCTCCTTGTTCATCCTCGCCCCTCCTTGTTCATCCTCGCCCCTCCTTGTTCATCCTCGCCCCTCCTTGTTCATCCTCGCCCATCCTTGTTCATCCTCGCCCATCCTTGTTCATCCTCGCCCATCCTTGTTCATCCTCGCCCATCTGAATTTTTTTGTTGGACTCACAAGTACTCTCTTTCCGCTCCCTTCCCCCTTTTCTTCTACGCCCCCGCCCTCCCTCTCTTCCTCCCTCCCTCTCCCCCTGCTCCAGGCGTTCATGCTGAGGAGGACGGAGCATGCAGCGACAGTGCTGAGCGAGGCAGTGGATGCACTCACAGCCAGGGGCGTCATCACCGCCGCTCAGAAGCACTTATTCTGGGCTTCTCTCATACCCCTTTGCTCCTCCCTCCCAATCTTCCCTCCTTCCCCTCCTCTCCGTCCTCTCCCTCCTTCCTTCCTCTCCCTCCTCCCCTCCCTCTCCCCCCTCCCCTCTCCCTCCCCCCATCCTAGGCGTTCATGCTGAGGAGGACGGAGGGGGAGCCGGTGGGGCATGCAGCAGTAGTGTTGAGCGAGGCAGTGGATGCACTCACAGCCAGGGGGGTCATCACCGCCGCTCAGAAGCGAGCGCTGCTGCAGGAGGTGGCTCTGCGACTGCAGTGATGCGCGCTGTGCAGTGCGGTGCGGTGCAGTGCGGTGCTCTGCTTTGTGGTGCGGTGCAGCACTGTGCTGCGCGTCATGCGTCATGCCATATGCGTGATTGATGGTGGTTCTGTCTTTTAACATGTACAGGGGGTCATGATAGAGCGGAGTAGTGCCTCGCTTTGTCCTCTGCTCACTTGTACCGCACCGCCAGGTGTGGTGTAATACGGTAGCGACACAGAAGAGAGCACAGGATGCCAGATGTTGCTGTGTGACTGTAGCAGCTGCATTTTAGGAGGCTTGCTTGCTTGCGTACCAGTAATTCACATTAACAGCAGCAGCTGCACAGAATTAGCCAGGTAGCACGCTCTGCAATGTAACGGTAGTACTGTACCATGATGGTGGGATGAAACCACCCTGTCCAATCCGAACCAAACACTGCTGCTGCTGCCATTCAGCTGCTTGTGAAGGCTAGAGTACGGTACCGTAGATTCAGTAGATGACATTTGTAACCCTGGCATAGCGGAATGTTGTCCGTAGGATAGGACGCTAAGAAAGGGCAGTCTCTGTCTGGAGGCTTGTGAAGAGGCCTGTCTGTCTTACACTTCAGACGTGGATTTCTGATGTGCGCTGCGCCGAATGACGAGTTGTGTTGTGTGGTAGAGGTAGGAGAAAGCTGACAGTAATTGAATGGATATGGATGGATGGTTCTGCACGTTCACAGTGACTTCAAACCCCACACAAGGAATTTCCACTCCACAGGATGCAACACGCCATATCGGCCTTGTTCTCAAGGCAGGTGGCATCGGCATGGCAGCAGCATCTGAAGCATTTCGTAAGAAATTTCCTCTGGCGACCAAACCACCCCTGTAAATGGGAAGTTTCGCATTTCGACCCCGGAAAGCAGGGGCTCGAGACTGGTGTGTTTCTGCCCCCTGTTGCAACCGTTTCGTCACGGGCTGTTAACTGGCCAATCCCTCTGCCATGCCATCCCGTGGCCATTCGCCTCTCTCGGGAGGGTGGCCATGGGGTGGCACAAGCATTGAAATTTGCCTGAGAGGGAAAACGCGGGGAGGCTTTGAACCCTTTTGATGCTGTTGACAGAAGCCATGTTCTGCAGCCGATGCCGTGCCGTTTTGGTTTTGACGGCATTGAGAGGCTTGACGCGATTTTCTGAGCTGCTGCCCCCCAAAAAGTCAACGTTTTGGCAGCTTCTCTGCACATTCTTCAGGCGGCATCGAGTGCCTGGAGAACAAGGCCAAAAGAGCCAAACGCGGATAGCCACTCTCCTCCGTACATCAGGTGCAATAATATAACATGTGCCACGCTCATACTCAGGTCAGGGTGCCTTATACGGTACCATAAATGAGATTCCTCAACAGTGCACCTGGTAAATCCTAGTGCCTACCTACAGAGGTGCACAGACCTGGGGTCAACACCCAGAGGAGTCAACAGGGTTAACTGGTGTTCACAGGGACAATAGGAACGGGCTGAGGGGTTCCAGCAGCAACTGGCGAGTTGGCTGACTGCACTGCAGCATGCATAATAGCGAGATCGCCCAGAGCTTCTAAAGGGGACAAACGAGGATCTAGAGTGACAGGCGGGGAGGATGGATTGGCAGGGGTGGCATCAGCAGGGGTGGCATCGGCCAGTGTGGTGTGTGTGGGTCGTGCTGCTGCTGCAGCGGCTGCGAAGAGAGAGAGCTCTTGCTGGATGCCCAGGAGTGAGTGGAAGGAGGGGATGGGGCATCCTGCTGGGTGCGATGCTCCTGGCGGTAGATCAAGAGACACCTTTGGGAAGGGGAGGGAGGGAGGGGAGGGAGGGGAGGGAGGGGAGGGAGGGGAGGGAGGGGATGAGAAGAGAGGGAGGCTATTGGACACCTGTGGGAATGGGATGCTCCCCTTTAAAAAGAGAGGGGGTGGGGCATCCTGCTGGGTGTGATGCTCCTGGTGGTAAATCCAAGGTCACCTGGTAGGGAGGAGAGGAGTGTGAAAGAGAGTGAGTGAGGAGGGGAGGGAGGAGAGGAGTGTGAAAGAGAGTGAGCGAGGAGGGGAGGGAGGAGAGGACGGAGGAGTGTAAAAGACGAGAGTGAGTGAGGAGAGTGAGGGGATGGCGAGAGAAGGGAGCGGGAAGAGAGAGGAGGTGAGAAGGTTGAGGGAATGGAGAGAGGTACGATGGAATGGCAACGATAGAGAGGAAGAGGATGAACCCGTGCAACAATGGGGTGGGCACTTTTGAGGCGCCTCAAAACCCACATCAATGGAGAGGAAGAGTGTGAACCCATGCAACAATGGCGTGGGTTTTGAGGCGCCTCAAACCCACTTACATGAAGAGGATGAGTGTGAACCCGTGCAACAACAGCAACTGGAGTGAATTTCGAGTGTAATAGAAGCACCTATGCCCCCCACTGGAGTGGTTTCTGGGTCTCCACTGGCGTGTGGGCCTCTCCTGACCTCCACTGTATCCCCACCTCTTCGTTTCTGGCTATAGTAGAGAGCATACATGGGGAAGAGGTGCTTGCTATAGTGCCCATGCAAGGAGAGGCGACAGAAAGACGGTTCTTACGGTGTATCCAAAGCGGCCGTCCCCACTGGCATGTGGGCCTCTCCTGACCTCCACTGTTCCGCCCACACACACCACTCGCCACACCATCTGATGCCCACACAGCAGGGAGTGCAGGAATGGAAGTTGTGGCAAGTAGAAGGATCATGGAAAACAATGGGAGGAGGAGCTGGGGGAGAGCAGGGAGGGGAGGGAGAGCAGGGAGGGGAAGGAGAGCAGGGAGAGCAAGGAAAGCAGAGAAGAAGAGGATGGAGCAGGTGAGGTGCGGTGGCGGTGGGGTATGGCGCCCTTGACTCCTTTTCCAGCAGAAGAGCGAGCCTCAGTCTGCACATACAGAGTTGATGGTAGTAAGACCTCAGCAGCCCACCACAGGCCGCCATCAACCCATAGCACTCTGACGAGCCTAAGCATGTGTGTGGAGCAGAGTGTGGCGAGTGTGACCACACTCTGCCACCATCTGGAGAGTGTTACGAGGATAATGCGAGTGGCAGAGTGCGTTGCAGTGAGAAAGAGATGCGTGGGAAGGAAGGATCGCCTGGGCGACCATGTGGGTCGATTTTTGAGTCGACTAAAAAATCGACTCACTACACGCGTGGGAAGGATCCGCCTGGGCGACCATGTGGCTTTGAGAGGTAGCTAGCTAGGAGGTGATGATGATGACCAGCGGACTCACAAGGTTGCGAGGCGTGTACGAGAAGGAGATGGAGAGAGTGCCCACAGCACCATCCTCAAACTTGCTGCTCCATGCCATGCCATGCCATATCATGTCAGTCAAGGGGAGGGAGGTGGGGGGATGTTGTCTGTGCGACGTTACTTTTAAGAGTTCTCAAAAGTGACTCCAACCTAGTGGCAGACCTGTGTGGCGACCATGTATGAGACGCCTCAACAGTCGCCCACTTCAGTGTTTGCGGACAGGATCTTTTTATTTTGAGAGTTCTTAAAAAACAATTCGGTGCTTGCGGAGCAGAGTATCATTGAGTTGGGCGTCCAAACCAGCTCCGCAACAGGATGTTCATTGAGGACAGGATGTTCATTGAGGACAGGACGTTCATTGAGGACAGGACGTTCATTGAGGACAGGACGTTCATTGAGGACAGGACGTTCATTGAGGACAGGACGTTCATTGAGGACAGGACGTTCATTGAGGACAGGACGTTCATTGAGGACAGGACGTTCATTGAGGACAGGACGTTCATTGAGGACAGGATGTTTGAGTTGATTGAAAGATTACCTCCAGTTAGTGAGGGGCGCCTGTGTGGTTTTCTACTGGAAGCTGCTTTGGAGAGTTCTTGAAAGAACAGCTTGGATTGAAACTCTCTTTCGCCATTTCTCACTAGAAGCAGCAGCGACAGCACGTCAAAGAAGGGGAAGCGGCAGCGGCACCGGCAGCAGCAGCAGAAGCGGCGGCGGCGGCGGCGGCGGCAGCAGAAAGAGGGCTCACATTGTAGCAGTGAAGTTATCCGGGGGAGGTACATCTGCTATCTGGTGCGAACCAAATGCTGCCACTGATGATACTTTGCAGCAGCAGCAGCAGGACCAGAAAGGGGGCTCACAGCGTAGCAGCGAAGTTACCTGGGGGAGGTACATCTGCTATCTGGTGGGAACCAAATGCTGCCACTGATGATAATTTGCAGCAGCAGCAGCAGAAGCGGCAGCAGCAGCAGCAGCAGCAGCAGCGGCGGCGGCGGCGGCGGCGGCGGCGGCGGCGGCGGCGGCGGCGGCGGCGGCGGCGGCGGCGGCGGCGGCGGGGGCGGCGGCGGCGGCAGCAGCAGCAGCAGCAGAAGCAGCAGCAGCAGCAGCAGCAGCAGCAGCAGCAGCAGCAGCAGCAGCAGCAGCAGCAGCAGCAGCAGCAGCAGCAGCAGCAGCAGCAGCAGCAGCAGCAGCAGCAGCAGAAGCAGCAGCAGCAGGAGCAGAAAGGGGGCTCACAGCGTAGCAGCGAAGTTATCCGGGGGAGGTACTTCTGCTATCTGGTGTGAACCAAATGCTGCCACTGATGATACTTTGCGCCCAGTCATCTGGAAAGGGGACGAGAAGGGAGAGAGTGGGGAATTGATAGAGATAGAGGAGAGACAGGGGGAGCGATGGATCAAGGGGGAGTGAGTGAGAGAGGGGAAAGGAGTGGTTGGGAGGCACAGAAGGAAAGAGACGAATGAGTTGAAGAGGATTTGAGGCTTTGGACTCAAGGTATGAGGACTCTCTTTCTCCCTTCAATGCAATTCAAAACACAGAAGTGAAGCTCTGAGGCGCAATCAAGTTGAGGTGCTTGCTGCTTGATGGTCTTGAGAATTCTTGAAAAGAGTTTCGTGGGA